CTCCACCCCCACTCCCCATTTCTTTGCACAGGAATTTCTCACGCTTTCTAAATTGTCTACAGTGCGCACGTATACTTCATGCTCACGTAGGGAAGAAGTTTTCGTGCAAGAAGTCATTACAAGCCCCTCTCCTAGCCCTCTGCTTCCCTCTCTATCCCCCAACTCCCCAGCGTCAGGAAAAGTGAAGTTGGCGGAGCAGAGCCTAGAGCTCCGCGCACCGGTCCCGCAGCGCCGCGGGTTCCCGTCGCAGTCGCGGCTGCGGCCGGCAACTTGAACCCCTTTCATTTGTTGCATCTACCCGCCCGCCAGCTCTCCTCGCGCTCTCCGCGGGAGCAGCCACAGAATCGGCTGCCTGCGCAGAGAAGGCCAAAGAGAAACCGCCTAGGGCCGGCAGAGGGGCCGCCCTCCCGGGAAAAACCCCCGCACCCGCAGGCCAAACCTCGGTGTCCCCAGCTGTCCGCACTCTGAAGAGTCGCGGCCGCGCTGGGCTCCGCTGCTACCCGGCCTCGCACCCGCTCCCGGATTCCGCGCAGAAGCTCGGGGGCGCCGGCGAAACGCTTGGAGAAGGAAGAGACTTTCGAAAGTGGCAGAGAGCGGGCGCGCGGCCCAGGCGCCGTGCTGCGGGTCTTCTCTCGGCTCCCCCAGCCAGGACAGCGGCCACTGTCGCAAACCGACCCTGCCCGCCCAGGCCACGTCACGGCCGAGGCTGCCAATCCCGCCTGCCGAAGCGCCGCATTGGCTGCGGAACCTTATTTCTAGAGGTACCAGTTTATTCCCCGTGGGGCGGCCAGTCTCCCAGGCTGCAGGTTTCTCCGTTTCTTGGTAATTAGCGTCTGCACGAGCCACGCTGGCAGAGAACATTTGACGATATAGCTCTGCACTTCGCTGAAAGCATCTTTAAAACAGCTCACCTCCTTTTATCATCCCAGTCTGCCCGACTAGGACAGGATGGGAATCACTGGGTAATGCTGGTTTAGGGTTGTCTGTCTTGTTTCGTTCTGTAGGGATGGCATAGGGATCCGATGTCGTTTACAAAAACAGTCGGGAGGAAATGGGTGCTCGACTCTTGCTTGACTTCTTCACTCATCCTGCTAGCGAAGGTGCTGACTAAGCATGGTTGCAGCCATGGACAAGGCTTCACAGGTCAACCTCTTCTCCAGGCTGTAGAGAATAGAGAACCGGAGGTGGAGAGGCCTCCTAGGCAACAAGGCACACTCCACATTCGGGGTCATTTACAAGTATTACAAAACAAACGCAACCAGTTAAGTTCCCTGGACACAAAAGCAGCTAGATTGAAGAGATCTCTGACTTGTGCGCAAAGAAAGCTTATTTCCATATTTGTTCAGGGCTTTTTGTTATAAAGGGTGTTATACAATCCAGCACCTAGTTCTACCAGGAGGTTGAATGGCCCAACAAATTACTCACATTCAGTCATTTCACTGAATAAATATTTTTGAGCACCTGCTATGTAACAGGGAACCACCAGACAGCATGATACAGTGCTCAAGAGACAAACGAGGTCATAGTGTTGAGTCTGTAATAGTAGAGACCCATGATTACAGTCTGGAGAAAGGCCACATTTTGAAGTCAATCATACCCATCTTCAAATCCTGGTGCCACTATCTACAAGCTATATGACCTTGGGCAAATTATGTAACCTCTCTTGACCATAATCATATTTAAAAAGATGAGGCCCTCCCTAGTCGCACAGAGGGTTAAAGCACAGCACTAAGAAGCTAAAGCCACTTCTGCATGAGTTCGATCCGTGCCAGCCCTGGAGGTGATCCACAGGGCATGGCAGACCTCTCCTGACCTGCCAGCTGCTCCCCTCAGCAGTGTACTTCGTCGGTCTGCCTGTTCTGCTCCCCACTGTCTCTGGTGAATCTTCTCGCTGCCCCCCCCGTGCCTCTGGCCTGTACCCCAATTCTGTATGCATAAATAAATAAATCTTGGAAAAGATTTAGAAGTAAAGATGAAAACAACAGATGGAACTATGCTATCTACATGTAATCATTTTTTAATTTAATAAAGACTCTGTGACACCAGGCAAATAATTATCCAAATGGTATTGCCATAATTGGCAATACCATAATTGGCAAGTGATGTGAACTAGACACTATGGGGTACTGTGGGAACACATGGGAAGGCACCTTCTAGCAGGGAAAACCTTCCGAATCAAGATAGAATATGAAGAATATGAGTTAGCCAAGGTGAAATACAGTCAAGAAGCCCTGACAGTGAGAACAGAGAGTCAAGTGAAGTGTACTCCAGGAGCTAAATTGAGTAAGAGATAATGACCATCTCATGGTATAACTGCTTATTCCCTGTATCATCATTTTTCTGGTTTTTTTTTTTTCGCCATTCTTTTTTCCAGGAAAATCAGCTTCTTCATGACTACTGCTCCACAAAACATCAATTTACTTATGGCTTTAGTGTTTTGCTGCTAAACTCACAGAAAATGTGAGTTTTCTCAAAACTTTAAATGTGTGGGTGTATGATAAAATAACCCTTGTTTATTTCAGTCACTGTTGGTCAGTTGGATTTTCTGTTATTTGTGGTCAAACACAATACTGACAGAAGAATCCTCGCAGGAAACTGAAAGTGCCAGATGTTAACACAGGTGGCACTCAATATTTTATCTGAGCACCTACCTCTACTCTGCCCTTACAATTTCCAGATCTTCATATGTGCAATACTTTTAAACATTTTGCAGTAGTTATCACATAACCTGTATGTGAAGTGCTGGAAACCTGATTCTGCTTATTTCTTTGACTTTTACTCATTCCCTCTCTTAGTCTGTTATTTTAGCAAGTGTGCTCAGGCTTTTCCCATGAGACATCTTCGCGGCCTGGACTGAGATCATTGACACTAGTTTCTGTCAGGTGTCCATGGTCCTACCAGGAATACTTTTTATGTTAATTTCTTGGTGTCCAGGCCCCATGAAGTACAACACATTTTTATGTGCTATTTTTTTCTGTTCCTTTAATTTTTTTTCTTTTCAATAGTTTATTTATCCATCATTTTGTGCATTTTTCCATATAAATTTTTATGTTGATCTTTTCCTAATCTATCATACTTGAATATATGACCAAGAGTACAATTGCAGGGTCAGATTCTACTTTTAATTTTTAAGGTGAATCCAGACTGTTTTCTCTAATGGTTGCACCAGTTTACATTTCTGCCAACAATATAATAGGATTTTTTTGGTTCTGCAGCTTCTCCAACACTTACTGGAGGGTGTCATGAAAATGAAATGAAATGTGGCAGGTGAAATTGATTTTTATTCTTGGAGAGTCAGTGGATTGAGTTACAATTGACAACAAGTAATTTTAGGTATTTTGATAATTGACATAACATTTCTATTGATTTTAATAAAGCAGTGGTCTATTGCTTACTGCAGAACCACTATTCTCAACTTGAAAAAGCAAAATTTGCACAGAGAAACCAGATTAAACAAATATGCTAATTTCAGCCAATATAACAAAATAGGAACAAAAAGATTTTTGTGTAGGTAGTTTACTGCAGTTCCTACTGCAGTACACAAGAGATTTCTTTTGATTTTATTTGTGTGTTTGTATTTGTATTGTTTTGAATTAATCAATTTCATGAATTAAAATTCTGAAAACAAAGATGAAGACAAACTAGAGAATTTTTTAGCTTTAGAACTATAATACATTTCTTAACCAAGTTTTTTGGGGTAAATGATAGAAATGACATCACATAGCTATTTTTTGTTATCATTTCATTCAAGATCTAGAATATTCCTAGATCAATTTTGAATAAATTATTTAAAAATCAGACATTTAGCTATAGAAGTATGCACTGAACACCGGCTTTTGTCACTAGTTGTTTCTTGTTCAGTTATTTATTTAACCTAAGAGTTTCCTTTTTCTCATTATGAAGAGAATGATGGATTTCTTAAGATCTCTGGCTTTACCATCATGTGATTTGGTCATAAGAGAGGCAGGTTCAAAGTTAAAAAGGAGAAAGTAAGAAAAATAGAAATGTTATTTACAGATGCAGAATAGATACACTATATATGGTGAAATTGGGTATTTACAGCCTTTGGGAGAGAGGCTTAAGAACTTTTTCACAAAGGTATTCTCTCTGTGATAATTAGATTATTTTTAGCATAATATGCACAGCACCACATTCACTCAGGCCCAAACCTGCCAGCCTTGCTGCAAGCACCCTCCAGTACTACTTAAATTGTTCTCTAAATAGACATAACAATGGGGTAATCACACTTCCTTTCTTAGAATAATGTCCCTTTTTTTTTTTTAAGACAGACAGAGATGGAATACAGCTATAACATTGCTTAGAAATCTAGGTTCATAAAGAAAAGTAAGTATCTAAAGCAGTAAATGGCACTATGTCTCTTATTATGGAAAATTATCAACTTTTTAAACTATAATAATACAAAAAACTATACAACTTAAAAGCCACCATAAATGAAGTTAATATTTGCCATTCTTATTTCTGACTTTTTAAATAAAATAATAAAGAGGATATTACAGAAGAGGTTTGTTTTCCAGGGATGAACCTTTGGGAGGCTTTTTTATTTAAAGACATAAATTAATTCTCATCTCAAGAAAAGAAAATTTTGTATGTATGTATGATGACAGATGCTAACTAGCTTTACTATGGTGATATTTCACAATTTATACAACTATCAGATCATCATGTTGTATATACCTGGAATTAACATAATATATATCAATATGCCTCAATAAAACAGGAAAGACATTAAGACTGGAATTTAAAAAAAAAAACAAAACCACAATACAAACTTCTCCTGTAGTCTGTTCATTCAACAGCACACATATTTTTTCTTCTTAGAGAGTCACTTATATTGTCCCCAGTAAAAATATTAGCACCACTTCCCCTTGGCTATGTTCCTTGACAATTCCTACAGTGAAAGCAGACATCTGTTACTGAGCCTCTATTTGGGGAAAACGTATTAACTCTCAGAATACAAAAAGGAAGAAATCTCATCTATATACTTACTCAGCATGTTATTTTTTCACCTCCCCCCCCCCAAAAAAGAGATATGATTAGATAATGTAGTCATTTCTCCTGCCAATAGTCTTCTGTTGCTTCCTGTAGTGGGTAGAACTGTGGGCTCCCCAGAATAATGTCTACCCAAAACCTATGACTGTGACCTTATTTGGAAACAGTCTTCACAGTTATAATTGAGGTAAGAATCCAGAAAGGAGATTTCTCCGATTAGGGTGGCCCCATATCTAATAAGTGCTCTTCTAAGAGAAAGTGGTGTAGAGACACACATAGAAGGCCCTGTGAAAACAGAGTCAGAGATCAAAGTTACGCAGCTCCAAGGCAAGGAATACGAAAGGTCATTGATAGCCAGAAGGATCTAGGAAACAACATAGAAAGGCTTCTCCCTCAGAACCTCCAGAAGAATATAACCCTCTAGCAACTTGAATTTTTGGACTTCTGAACTCCAGAATTGTGAAAGGGCACATTTTTGTTGTTTCAATTCACCTATTTGTGGTGATTTGTTGTGGCAGTCCTACCAAATTAATATTGGGACCTTCTAGTAGAACTCTTCCTCCTTCACTAGAGATGTTACAAAAATTCATTGTTGACATCTTTGCTGTGTTGTACCCTAGAATAACCACTTATTCCAAAGTGAAACACATCCTAAGATAAACATTCAGTAATACTATAGAGAAGGAAACCTACTACTTATATATCACATATATATAGGACCTACCAGTAAAATAAGGACGCTTAATTTCTAATAGATACGTAAACCTTGGTGTCATCCTACATTGTCATCCTTAGACACTTCACCTAAATCAAATTGTCATCTTCACTCACACTTTTGAAAGTCTCTTTTTTATCACTGACCTTAGGACCTGTTAGTAAGTTTGTTATTAGTTGGGTTTCTCTTGGTATTATTCAGTCTGGATCTGAAGGTCTGATAACTTATGGTGTGGGTTCCAGTTTAGCTCTGAATGCTGGACCACCAGGAAAAGAAAGATGTTCCATCTCAAGCAGTCAGGAAGGAAGAGCAAAATTCTTCCTTCCTTCACCCCACTGTTCTGTCTAGGCCCTCATGAGACTGGGTAGTATCTACCATATAGGGCGGAGAAAACTGCTTTACTGAATCCACTGATGCAGATAATAATTTCACTTGG